CCGGCATATGGGGCCAGCGCCCTACTCCTTTGAGCCACAGGTGCTGCTTTTTTTTTTTTTTATTTTGAGAGCCTCAAGCTATCACCCTGGGTAGAGTGCCATGGCATCACAGCTCATACCAAACTCCCCTCCTCCTGGGCTTAAGCAATTCTCTTGCCTCAGCCTACTGAGTAGCTGGGACTACAACACCTGCCACAACGCCTGGCTATTTTTTGGTTTAGTTGTCACTGTTTGGCAGGCGTGGGCCAGATTGGAACCCACCAGCTCTGGTGTATGTGGCTGGTGCCTTAGCCACTTGAGCTATAGGCATTGAGCCAGTTTGTAAGAATTCTTAGGTATTCTGTATGCTAGTCACCATCAGATAGATGATTTGCAAATATTTTCTTTCATTCAGTGGGTTATTTTACTTTCACAGTGGTATCATTTGAAGCACAAAAGTTTTTAATTTTTATTTTTTCTTATTTATTTATTATTATTATTTTTAATTAGCGACAGGGACTTACTATGTTACCCAGGCTAGAGTACATTGGCTATTCACAGGTGTGATCCCACTACTGATCAACATGGGAACTTTAACCTGCTCTGTCTCCAACCTGGGCTGGTTCACTCCTCCTTAGGCAACCTGGTGCCCCCCTCCCACCCTCTGGAGGCATACTGATGCTCAACATAGTGTGGACACCCAATCAGCATAGCACACTATAGCCCAGAACTCCTGGCCTCAAGCTATCCTCCTGTCTCAGCCTCCTGAGTAGCTGGGACTACAGGCACTCACCACCGAGCCTGGCAATTTTTATTTTTTCTTTTGTTCTGTATCCTTTTGTGTCATTTCTAAAAAGCCATTGTCTAATCCAGTACCATGAAGCTTTTCCCCTGTGTTTTCTACTAAGAATTTTGCTCATATATTTATATGTGTAATGCATTTTGATTAATTTTTGTTTATAGTATAAAGAATCATCCAACTTTATCCTTTATGTGTACATATCCAGTTATCCCAGCCAGCATCATTTTGTTGAAAAATACATATTTCCAAATGCAGTTGTCTTTTGATAAATTTGAGGTATTGGTTCTGGGACCCCCAAGTATATCTGAATCTGCACATACACAAAACCCCTAGTCAGTTCTGGGGAATCCTACCTGTACAAACAGTTGCCCTTTCATGTATGTGAGTTTTGTGTCCCACAAATACTGTATTTTTAATTCTCATTTGGTTGGAAAAAATGCATGTATAAATGGACCTGAGCAGTTCACACCAGTGTTGTTCAAGGCCCAACTGTAGTTTACACCATCCTATTATCTGCGTGTGGGGGGGTTCCTCCACCCAGTTCCTCAAAGTCTAGATTTTTTTTCTTTTTTTGAGACAGAATCTCACTTTATTGCTCTCGGTAGAGTGCTGTGGTGTTACAGCTCACAGCAACCTCCAACTCCTGGGCTTAGGTGATTCTCTTGCCTCAGCCTCCTGAGTAGCTGGGACTACAGGTGCCCGCCA